ATGTCAATAGATATAAACAATTCACCACAATTTCTTGCAAGTTGGTGAAAGCATTCTTGACTTATTGTCCGAAAACTTGAAAATCCCCCTTTTTTTAATGAATAAAACCCCATAACTCGGAAACGTAAAATCTAAATTTTATAAAAAACGAAAGGGAGCTCACGTCAATAGATATAAACAATTCACCAAAGTTTTATGCAAATTAGTTAAAGCATTTTTGAGTTAATGTCCGACATGTTGACGACGGACAGACGGACGGACAGACGGACGGACGGACAACGGTATACCATAATACGACCCGTAAACGGGCGTATAAAAACTGACCACTATGATTTTAGTCAAGTGTGCTGAAGGTGGGGTTTAACACAAACATCAATCAATCAATCATGAATTGTTATAGTTGTTCACAGTTACTTGTTTTTTTTTCTTCTCCATTATAAACATATTTTGAAAAGTGCTAAATATATCCAATGCAGATTTTCAAAGTTGGCAGGTGTTAACAACTTAAATCTTCTTGGAAAACTTAAATTTGAGCAACACTAACATGACTAACCAAACAATCAATCTTGAAATGTTATAGTTGTTATCAGTTGAGTTCATTATGTTGACATATTTGAAAGTGGATCAAAATCCCTCATTACCTGATTTTTTCTGATTCTTCTTACACTGTGCTGTTACACAATTGTCCCTGGCAGGGATGGGGTTTTGAGCACATGTTAACATTTTAAACCTGGTAATTTTCTGTCTGTACTTGACCCAAGTCGGGAACCATTAATTTGCTGTTGTTAATCATATTTGTTTTTCCATCTATTATTTTTACACAAAAAATTATGATTGACCCAAGTACGGAACCAGTAATTCGTTGCTGTCAATCATATATGTTTTTCATCTATTATTTTTCATGACACAAAAAAATTAAAATACCACTTTAAAAATCATTGTATATGTTTTCTTGAATTATCTTACAGTATTCAGTCCAATATACATTTCCATCAGTCCAATCCTATTTTTCTTTTAAAAAATTCATTCCCTTGTGTCAGACAATTGGACTTTAACATTGAAACTAGAGCTTCCAAAATAAAGTGAGCCAGCTGTTTTTTTTTTTTTACCCGTTTTTAATCACTGAAAACTTTGAAACTTAAGGCAATCAAAGTAATCATTGGGGACATTCCGACAATGGCTGACACGAAAAACTTCGTACTTTCGATATGGATTCTGTCAACTGACATTAGTTCGTACATTGATATTTCTGTCAACTGACAGTGCATCGTTTGAAGTGTAAAGCACCAGCAGATTAACGAGTGCGCTTAACTCTTTATTATCGCAATAACATACTGAAATATTCTAGCTTTTGTTTTAAAACGCATGTTTTCTAAAACTGGGATATGACTTGCTTGCGTTAAAGATCTGAACACAGACGGAAAAACTAAATCCTTGTATTTTTGTCAAGCATCATTGAGTTGAAGTCTTACTCTGCACGTAGATTCTTGAAATTACACAAGATGCATTGTATAAATTAATGAAAATTCAATTTATCAGTATTTTGAAACTTTCGGATGCACAATTAAATTTCCCATTTGTGCACATGCACAGACTTGTATTCACATAGCCAACATGGTTTGGATTAACCCGATTTTCCAGTTGTTTTATTCCGATCACTCCAACAAGAAACGGCAGTGGATGGAGTGCGCTGAATCAATCAAGTTAGTTTCGGATTATAATTAAATTAACGCATGCATACATCCAAATCTACTTTAAAACCATCCGGTTACAAGTAAATGAATAACGTAAGATTGAAGATAATTATGATGGAATCTAAAAATTGACATAAATAAAAAGGGAAATATTAAAACATTATAACATGAGAAATTATAACACTAACGATAGTCAGTGATTTTTTTTTAAGCCTAACTGTACATATGTTTTATAAAATGATGTAGTGTGTGCAACCTTTTTTTTTCCCTTACTCGCCAAATTGACGAGCAGCTTTTCATTTCAACTCGCCAAATTGAAATTCCACTTGCCAGCTTGGCGAGCGATTTATTTTTGGAACTCACCGTCTTTTACATACATAATTATTAAAACATATTATTCCATTCCACTTACTAAATGCTACTTATATTCATCATTTTAATCTTTATATAACTGGTACATATAACTTGACAATTTAAATTACTATTTACATATATATAGTAGTCTCAGTTATATAAGGGAGCAGTCAACTTATCTTGTGATTACCTTAGGAGAGGGGCTTCAAATACATTTTTACCACAACTGACAAGTCAAAAGTTTTTTTGTCATAACCAGACTTCCTTATTCCAATGATTATGGATAAATCTTAGTCCAAATGCTGGAGTTATTGAGCAGCCTCTTCTACTATAATTATCACATTTTTTATTTTAAAAAACATGAATAATTATACTGTTCTGCACCAAAGGCCTTTTTATGTTTAGTTTCTGGTTTTGCTTTTTCTTTTAGTTCCCTTTGTTTGTTTAAATTATTTATCCTTAAAAACTATTCCATTTTGAGAATTTTTTTTTCTGGCCAGTTGAAGTATTTTATATCACTCGCCACATTGGCGAGTTACCAAGTATCAGTGCTCGCCATATTAGTTTCTTACTCGCCTTTGGCGAGTTGGCAAGCGAAGGTTTCACACACTGATGATGCAGACGCTATTTTACAAACTTGTAACCAATCATGTGTACAAATCAGTGTCAAGATGAGGCACGGAAGTTATAAAATTGTAAAGCATAGAAATGGAAAAGGCAACACTCCTGCTAACGGTTCAATGATTTTACAGCTGGCAGTATAGGATTTCAGAAGACTTTTTAAAAAGTCTTCTTCCACCAAAAATAACCAGTGATGCACCAATTATATTTACAAAGCAGCAACACACAGAAGTGATGACAAACAATCTCTATCAGTATGAAAGGTTCAAATATATGGTCTTAGAGAAGTTGTCATTATGCTACAATGGGCCAAAATGGTCATAAGCAATCATACCAAGTATGAAACATTTTGGATGAATAGTCTAAAAGGAGAAAAGGGGTAGCTTTTAGAAGGTATCATTATACTTTAACATCCCTCTGCAGGGAGAAAAGTATTGCACAGGTCATGTATATATAATAGCTGTAACTTAAACTATCAATATAAAATATCTATGTATTTTCCTTGTATATCATGCGTATATTGGAATATAATCTCATGTAATTGTCAGTTTCTAATGATTACCATTTTCCCAATTATATATTTTATGGTGATAGAATGATAAATACAGCCAATCTAGACAAAAATTGAGATGATTATATTAACAAAAGTTCAACTTCTTTCAACTAAGGTTCAAATATTGAGTTTTTTATGCATTTGAGAATACTTTATAAACATGATAAAGACACCAATTGCTTAATTCAGACAACTACCATGATCACAGCTCATCTTAAAATTTCAGCAAAATTTGCAATAGGCTTTATCATTGTTTATAGGCAAGGGAATGTTGGTGTTTTTTGCATCCTGTTTTCATTGGATACAATTTTGTAGGTGTCTGGATATAATGTTCTATATGTATTTATGAATTCACCTTGATGCCCTCTTGTGTTTTTAGATAATCTTTTAACTGTTTTGCTGATGATAATCTTCTCTCTTTGTCAGAATCCCGACTAACTCTTCTAATGTACTTCGACAATCTTGATTCGTCATTAAAACTTTTGCTTGGTTCTACTAAAACAAAGACAGATGATTTCAAATTTGATATTAAGAATGAATTAGCATAAATCTACTCATTGGAGAAAAACAAATGATGTCAGCTACTTTTAAACAAAAATTACAGTATTATACATGTATTTCATAAGTAATAATAATCATTTTTCGTATGGTAGTTTACATAATTTATTAAAAATTCAGATCAAAATCAGCACCCCAAATTCAGTGTGTTTTAATAAAACAGTTGGGATATTGGACACTCTTTTATGATCACATTGAAATTTGTTGACATGGTAAAAGTTTACGAATGCGGGTCTGTTCGCCCAAAATCATGTTCGCTCCCATTCTCGTTCATCCCCTTTCACGTTTGCACCCTGGATCCGTTTGCACCATTTATAAAGGTTTTGTGTTGAATAAGTTTATAGTCATGCTTTAGTTAGTGGATTGCTATAAAAAATAAATAAAATAAGTTTTTTTTTATTGTTTTAAAATAAAGTGACATTCTAAAAACGTAAACAGGTTTTCTTTTGTGAATTATTTTAAATTTGACGAAATGCATGAATAATGAATAATGTCATGATGATCAAAGACTAAGTCATTTGTCTCCAAGACTTGTAAATTTAATTTGTGAAGACTAGATTTGTGAAAAAGATAATGTAAGTACAAGTACCACTCTTCTTTATGTCCTGTTTTGATTGAGTTGACGCCACAGTTAATGTGGAAGACCGGAATTCCGTCTTCCCTCTGCTTGAACTTCTGTTAGCTGAGGTAGAAAACCTGCCACTTCCTACATCCTCTCTTCTGGAACTTGGTTTGGAGACTCCATTTTTCACTCCATTTATTTTCATTTGTGGTTTAATGTCAATCTTTTTGTCCAAAGTTTTGGACTTTTCATAGATTTTGGGAGATTCTACTTTCTCAATCCTTGTTCTGCTACTTGCGTTTTCGTTCAAATTACTACCCGACTTTTCCTTTGTAACATCGACTCCGCCATCCGATACATCTTGCTTATCAGGTGGTTTACCCTTAAAGCCTACTGATTTTTCACTCATTACATAGAAAAATCTAAGAAATGTTCATTTCGTAACGGAAATTGTGATCCAACCAACTGAAATTACTCGTCCATCTCTGTGCTATATTTAACGTTGATGTCCCGCACCTAATAATAAAAATATTTTAAATTGATTTGGTAAAAAATTGACTGGAAATCCCCAAAATTATTTGGTTATTTTAAAGTTTTAAAACTGATGAAAAATTGATTCATTCATTTCAATTATTTCTAATTTTGTGCTGGACAGTGACATGGCGACCATAGGAGAATCTGTCGCGGTCTTGCACGTGAAAGATGCAAAATTAGAAGATGTAGGCGAATCGTTTGAACCAACACACATAACAGTTACATACAATACAAAATACATATCAGTTGTCGAGGTATTTACTGTTCTTCTGTTAAAATACTGACATCATTTTGTATATTCTACCACAAAAAATCTGATTATTGTAACTCGGACCGATGCAGCACGTTTCGGCCACAGTCGTTTCGGCCCTACTGCCAGTTCGGCCATACTTTGTAAAGTCGTTTCGGCCATGGTTTTTATTGTTATAAAGGGAGGAAAATGTAATTGTTTTAGAATCAGAAATAATAGAAAAAAACATTATAATAATTAATTTATATTCATTGATAAAAATGTGTTTTAATTTACCAGTCAGAGATATATCTCTATATTAGACTATAAGGTTGTTAGTACAGCTAAATTTATCGCTTAGGCCAAAATAAATTAATGGTGTGTTTCCTATTTCATCTTCAAAAAAATTAGGTAGGGTAGGTAGGTTAAACATTTTATTTTATGAAAACATTTTATTTTTTTTTTATTGATGGGTCGACAGCAGAAAAAAGTTCCAAATCAAATAGTTTGATGTGCGGGCTTCTCTGATATTTAGAAAAGTAATTAAATCTACAGCTTTTTTAATTTTCTGTTTTAATTCTGCGTCAGAAATATGAAAATAAACTTTAATGAAAATTTTATGCATTTCATTGGTCGTAAAAAGAAAAGTGTATGTTCTTCACGATTAATTATCTTAAACCAAAAATGGCAGTGAAAAATCTGGCATGGTATGTTATTATGTTGATCCTCGTTGAACCTAAAAATGTAAATGTCACACAGGGTATACATATGGAAGCAGATTCGTACCCCTTGAAAAAACTGTGAACCGATGCTAAGCAGCAGATAATTATGATTTTTTTAGGGTTAATACTCTGCCCTTGCACCCTCTTTATTTAATATACAGATGTGTTTTGATGTTTGACAAAATGTGATGGTGATTGAAGATTGGGTGGTTCTGACAATATTAAAATTCCAGGTTTTGAGAAGAGTGAGAATGTGAAATCTTTGTCTTATTAATGATGGTAGTAATGCCTGTTACCGTCAGGCGTCAAATGGTCATTTTTGGCTACCGTTAGCGTCAAATTGGTTAAAATGTTACCTTAATTCATCAAAATATCCTTATCCTGATTCTTCAGAGCAAGGATTTGTATACTATAGGTCTCAGATAATTATCGTTACCGTTTTTTTGGAAAAAAATTTACGTGATTCGTCAAAATCAGTCGATTTTTTTACCGTCTAAAAGAAAGTGTACATTTTATCGTCATGCACCAAAAATTACCTTTAACGTCGTTTGGCAAGATTTTTTAGCGTTATTCTGTCTACATATGATTGTTCTGCCTAACAGAAGTTCCACTGGAAACTTTGTTATAACCAATGTCATAATATCTGTTCCTGTTGGAACAAATATTCTATACCATTCATTCCGTTAGGAACATATACTGTAATATTTATTCCAGAACACTTTTTCCATTTGGAACTTCTATTTCGTGACAATTCGTCGTGAAGTTACCTCATTAATCTACTGGTCAAATAAATTGCAGATGTAAATATGACAGGATTTTTTCCCTTTTCTTGTATAAATTGTTATGGGACCAGCCAGAGAAATAAAAAAGAATAAAAGTAGACATGGTGCTGGGGCAGATTCATTTATAAATGAATATGAATCATACACCATGTCTGCCTACTGGGGAAAGCTTTTGAAGTTTCATCTTTCTCGTTCCACATTGTCTGTTCCCTTGCCATCATAAACTAAAAAGCATTAACAGCCGTTTATGTTGCGTCCTGGGCACAATTCTGTACAACATTCGTAAGAGCATGTTTTACAACAAAAGCTGGATTGATTTTAGCAGTTTTTACTATAAAATTGTGAGTCAATTTACCGACAGTTACAGTCTGTCCAACCTGAAACGATTCTGACTGTTGCCGCGGGTCCAAAGAAGCACAGGTACAAGACGAGATTTAGTTAATATATGTATATATACTGAATACACTTCATTTTATATACAAATATTTAAAAAATCTCGCTTGTAAAGGCTGTTCAAAGAAGTTGAACAAAGTGCGTCAACTTCGTATTTTTTTCGTCTATAGGTCCGCTTGATGTTCTTCAAAAAGATTCATCATATCGTAATTATCCGGATTCGATGTCATTATATTTTGCGTGCATGTGATCACATTTCGCATATTTGACAGCTAATACGCTACACGGTCGCCGAAATGCCATGCTTGTTTATTTAAAATCTTGGTCCTTGAAACGCTTTACTTATCAATATTGGTCGTTATTATCAAACGCTTTGAAGATCTATAGTATTCTAAACGAATAATCGGATCCGGACAGACTGACAAATCCGGATTTTGAATATTTATATTATTTTTGTCAATAAAATGTTTAGGGTCGGCGTCGGAAACGGAGGTAGGGTCGGGAAACCGGAAACACACCATTTATTTATTTTGGCCTTATTAAAAAATAATAATATTATGGGTATTAAATTTTAATAAACTTATTCAGATATTTATATGGTATAAATTCTCGAAATTCATGAACACGCATGAAAAAAAATTAATTAAAAGCTGATGGCTTGTTTTGGAGCATTAATAGGTCATGATAATAATTCACACTGATTGTTGTAATAATTGTCTTTGGTAGATTAATAATTGGAATTATCGGAATAAAACAACTGGATTATTCGGGTTAATTTGAACCACGTTGGTTACGTATCTGCGCATGTGCACAAATGGGAAATTTAATTGTGCATCTGAAAATTTCAAAATAATGAAAAACAGAATTGTCATATATTCATACAATCCATCTTGAGTTAAAGTCAAGTATATACGTGGAGTGTACGACTTCAAATCAATGATGCTTGAAAAAATACACCGATTTAGTTGTTCCGTCTGCGTTCATATCTTTAATGCAATCAATTAAGTCATATTCCAGTTTTAGACAACATGTGTTTTTTAAAATGAAAGTTAGAATATCTAAGTATGTTATTGCGATAATAAAGAGTCAAGCACACACATAAATCTGCTGGTGTTTTACACATCAAACGATGCACCGTCTGTTGACAGAAATATCAATGTACAAAGTAATGTCTGTTGATGGATTCCATTTCGAAAGTACGTAGTTTTCATGTGGCTCATTGTCGGAATGTCCCCAATGATTGCCTTTATTGCCTTAATACATTGTACGTTTCAAAGTTTTAGAAGTGAAAAAAAACGGGATTTAACAACTGAATAGTCCAGCTCTTTACCGTTATTCGTCATTAAGGTATACACAAAAATGACACATTATCGAGGCTCAAGTACGGAACCATAATTCGTTGCTGTCAATAGTTTTATTTTCATAAAAAATTTCAGAAAAGGGCTGTGTGACTCCTGACGGAAAATGCCTTTCCTATCCTCATACTTTTGTGTAAAAATATTAGATGAAAAACAAATATGATATATGGGTCAAGCACTTTAAATGAACAGGTTTGAAATGCAAAAAGAGTCAAGCGCACACATGATTCTGTCGACGGTGCATTGTTTGATGTGTAAAACACCAGCAGATTCATGTGTGCGCTTGACTCTAAATTATCGCAATAACATAGCAAGGTCATCACCTGACATGACCGGTCAATCCTTGGCCTGACACATATCTGCATTGGATATATATTTAGAATTTTTTAATATATGTTTATTTATTTAAAACCCTAATTTAAGCAAACTTGACTAAAATCTTGGTGGCCAGTTTTTTTTTAAAGTTCACTATCTGCCTTTGACAGAAAACTTGCAAGTGAAACCAAATCAATTACTGTTATAATTGCTTGGCGAAATTGCATTGCATCAAGTTGACCATGCTGAGATGAATGTATGGAATTTAGTTATAGAAAATTTAATTTGAATCAACAGTATTTGCAGATTTTTATGTTAAGTATAGTGAGTTTTGGTTGAGTTATGAGTATTATTATTTTTGGAAGAAAAAAATACGTCGAAAGCAATAATGGGACAAAGCAGGCTTGGTTGGTGTGGGCTGCTTTTATGGTAATTCAAGTTACCTTTTATGCATCTTCTTCCACCTCAGAGCAATCAGCTCTTTGATTTTTCACTTGTACTTTAAAATTATATTTCTATGAGCAACTTTTAACTATTTCTGGTAACGTGTTCCAGTCTTTTATGATTGTTAATGAAAAGTGATATATAATATTACAAGATATGATAATTATTAAAAAGTGAATAAGATTGTTGGTCTTATCGTAATAATAACAATAATCTCTCTGACCATTTGTTAATTGTTTTAAGTGTTAATTATAATTTCTTTCATCATGTTCATATATATCTAAAGTATATGATTTTTTATTATTAATTGATTTTGGCTTTTAACTAGCTGTCAGTAACTGTGAGTACTCTCAAATCGTACTTTCTTGTTTATTTGACCTGTTGATACTAATTGTAATGTTTTTTTGTTATTTAATGTTATTCAGGGTTATATCTGGTCTATATACCAGCTTTAATAATTGTTTGGTATTACTATAAATTTTCACTTCGTACTATGAACATCAAAATTATTTATTTTGTAAAAATATTTCCTTTCTCTATTTGAACTGTACACGTATACCTAACAACAAAATTATTATCATTTACCTGTGTTTAAATTAATTGCAAATGGCTGATATTTTTTTTAACTTTTCTTTGGTTTTTATAATGTACATTTTCTTAATACCGGGTGTTGACTTGACAATGGTAAAACACGGACCAGAGATGGATATGTAAAATCCGTGTACGTTTACAAAGCACAATTGAGTTTAAGTAGCTCTTTCCATGTTATTTCTTCAAGAAAATACTCGAAATGAACGTTAGATAAAGGTATCAATGATAATTTTAGCATTTTTGAAGAATTTCGGATGGATAATTAAATCTCACACCTGTGCACAAGTGTACTATTCCAAACAACGTGGTTGTGACGATTTTTTGCTTAAAACCTTTATTACTACCTATTTAAATTTTTCATCAAATCATATTTATATATGTATTTTTGATAATCTGAAATCTTTTTGACTAATTTAATTTACATGCAAACCGCTGAAATTTAGGAAAATAACTTCAAATAGACCGATCAAATGTCCGGTATGAAATAGTTTACCTTTCACCTGAACAGGTAAATTTAAACTGTCTGACAACTAATTAACCTTGATTGTAATGAGAAGGAATCTTGATTGTAATGAGAAGGTATTAAAGTAGGTCATAAAGATCGCAGAAACTTCAATTTTTTTCTCTGAATTATGTTAAAATGGCAAACCCATGTTAAATGTCCGCTTCTGGCTCGGCACAACAAGTCAAAATTATAATTTAACGGTCAAGTCTGGACAATACGACTGTTTTGGAAGCCCTGCCATGAAACCAATTTCACAAAACAATTTCAATCATGTTGAAGGATTCTCTCTGCAGAAATTTTCACGTCTGCTCTCATTGGCATGCTCGACTCAATCCCTTGTCAAATTGGGACCTGGTTAATTTGGCACCCGAGGTAGTTATTGAGACACCCATGGTTAACAGAATATTTTGCAAGTCATACTACTGTTTTTTACCATATTTTTTTTAAAACTATTTTCCTCATTAATGGTGTCAGTAAAGGCAGTTTGGCCTTTTATTACTTCTAATTTAAAAAAAAAAACTTTAAATTACAAGGAATTTGTTTTCATCCTCATCTTTTGATATAACAACAACTTGGGTAATGGCTTCTTTGTTAAATTTTCAAATTTTTGTAATTATAAAACATAAAAAACTAATGAAAATGGTTAAAACAGCAAAAGGGTTATTTTTTAACTGGTAAAAGCTCTAGTCGGTATAAGTTCTTAAGCTTTTAAAAGGAAAATCATATCAAAACGTTATCAATATAATATTGAGAAAACTTAAAACAACAAACATATTTATCATTTTTCATTGTGTATTCTAACTGCTTAATTACATGTGCTGAATTTTAACGATGTACAAAATGTATCCTCTTAAATGTTTTGCAAAAACGTATATATATATATATATATATAAGTATGTCTAAACAAGTGACAACTCTATGACAGGTCCATCCATTGGATCACCATTGAAGAAATTTACAGATCAAACATTGTTGGGCTGTTGTTTAGGCGAATTATATATATATATAAAAAAGTCATGTTCCCCATACCAAGGATTGGTATAGTACTATACAAATCCTTGCCCATACAGTTAAGCTATAAATTTGTGCCATTTTCAGTAAAAAGAATCCAACATTTCACTGTTGACTTCTTCATATTTGCAGAAAAAACATTGTTAAAATCCATTTTTTCAAATCAACAGTTTTTTCTTGATACAGTATATGTTAATATATTACATGTATGATAAATATAAACTGACTATTAATTTCATAATTTTTGGTCTTTAATTAAAAAAGTTACCCATTAGGACTCAGTTATTTTTATTTTTTGAAGAGTTTATTAATACTTGATGGAGTAAGTATAAATAGTCTAACAGCCTTTCAACATGTTCAATAAAAACAAAAACAACAGTACATGTGCTTTGAATGTCTGTTTTATAACACTTGTAACATGTGTAACAAGCAAACATTGTAGCGCCACCATTGATAATCATTTATCCTAAAGTCTCACCACTTTGAATTCTGCATTTGTACCTGTCAGATTTAAAATGAGAATTATTTTCTCCGTTTGTTCCAGGTAGTTTAAGGATACTTGGGTATACTACTACTTATTACTACCCAACATTGGATATGTATACCATGTATACTATAAGGGTAATATTTTGGTTTTATCGAAATATATTAAAAAGTGCAATTGGTTAATAAACAGGATAAAAGTTAACTTTTTTGGTTACAAACTTTTCTGAATGCCAAATTGTTCATGAGATATATATAAAAAAGATGAAATTCCTGACTTGGAACAGGAGGAATGGGAAGGGGGAATAAGACCAGGGAAAAAGATTAGCAGGGGCCCAGTAGCCAATGCTACTAAAATTTGGGTTGGGCCCCTAAAAGTTTTATTAAAATGCCCATAGTGCTTATGTTAATTTTCACATTGTGGCAGGTTGGGTCCCTAGTTGGAAAATGTTAGTCTTATTCCCTGAAGACCTGGACACTCTTCATTTAATATTTGGGTCATTGCAATTACATTAGGTACAGAGATTACATCATACTTTGTGATAAATAAAAGTACATTTTATATTTGACCATAGCATTATTTCTGTTCATTTGCCATCCTTCTTACAGACTGAAACACAGAAGACAGTCAAAAGTTGGTCAGTGAGAAGAGGACAAGAAATAACCAGTCCTACAGTATGGAATGAAAAAGAAGGATTTGTTACTGTTATAGATAAAAAGGTAAATACAGAGGTTAAAGGTCAAACTATCAAAATAACCAGTCGTACAGTATGGAATGAAAAAGAAGGATTTGTTACTGTTATAGATAAAAAGGTAAATCCAGGATACATATAGGTTAAAGGTCAAACTCACAAAATAACAAGAGACTATGAAGACAGTGTAGAGTTCCGTTTCAATGTAAATTGTTAATACGTGTTGATCATGTTGATTTCAGATCATTGAATGTCTCTTTAAATGACTACAGGCAATTTAATCTGGGATTTTATTTATAGACATTGTCTATACATCTCTCTGGATGTCCTTTTGTTTTTGTTGTGTACTGTTCGGTTTGGGTCTTATTGAGGAATACCTAATGCATCTTTTTATATGACTGCAAAAAAATTTTGGGGTCATATAATGCTATCATGTAGTCGTCGTCGTCAGCGTCGTCCAAAGACATTTGGTTTCCGGACAGTAACTTAAGTTTAAGTGTATGGATCTCTATGAAAGGAGTAGGTCCAGTAAGACCCCTTTTTGGCCCCAAAATATATCAGTTTTACAAAATTGTTAAAATGTAAACTTTTAGCTATTTATTGGAAAGTAGAATACTTCTGCTACATAAATATGGGCTGTTTTTGACAATACAATGCACATATATCGGGTACTAGCATCATTAAGTCATGCTAAATTACTGAAATCTTCCCTATTTTAGCATTTGAGTTAAATTTTAGACAGTTTCCGTCTTAAATGGAAGTGGCCGCATTTGTGTTCATTCTTTATATTTAAATGTAAGTTGTATTTAATGATAATACATAACATATATAAAGGTTAAGAGTGAACACGGATGTGGCCACTTTCATTTTTGACCAAAACCATCTGAAAAGTGACATATTATGGCATATTAGATAGATTTTTCATATTAAGCTTAAATTTGAGCGTCTTTAATGACTAAATCAGTTCAAATCTTTCACATAAACTAATTGAATCGACTGAAGTAGACACGCAAGTGTTTAAAAAGTGTCCAAAATCTTTCATCAGATGAACCTGAAATTTGAGGCCAAAATCGGCCCTTACCAGACCTACTCCTTTAACCAAAAGGTTCAATACCACAAAAGGAAGGTTGGGATTGTTTTTGGGGTGATGGTCCCAACCGCTTAGGAATAAGGGGCCAAGAAGGGGCCCAAAACAAGCATTTTTCTAGTTTCAGGACAATAACTTGTGTATAAGTATTTTGATTGCAAAGTAAGATCTACAAATAAGTCAGCATGACCAAAATTGTCAATTGACCCCCTTAAGGAGTTATTGCCCTTAAAAGTCAATTTTTAACAATTTTTCGTAAATTTTCGTAATCTTTTATAAAAATCTTCTCCCCTGAAACTGCTGAGACAAATTTTACCAAACTTGGCCACAATCATCATTTGGGTATCTAGTTTAAAAAAATGTGTCTGTTGACCCTGCCTTCCAACCAACATTGCCGACATGGCTAAAAATAGAACATAGGGGTAAAATACAGTTTTTGGCTTATATCTCTGAAACTAAATCATTAAGAGCAATCTGACTTGGGGTAAAAATTTTCATCAGGCTTAGATCTATCTGCCCATTAAATTTTCAGATAAATCAGACAACCCGTTGTTGGGTTGCTGCCCTGAATTAGTAATTTTTAGGAAATTTTGCAGTTTTTAGTTATTTTGAATATTATTTTAGATAGAGATAAACTGTAAACAGCAATAATGTTCAGCAAAGTAAGATCTACAAATAAGTCAAGCATGACTAAAATCGTCAATTGACATCTTATTGCAGTTATTGTCTCTTTAAAGTCATTTTCTGCAATTTCTTGGTAATTTTTGTAAAATGTTAATTTGGCCAAGTAGTTAAATTAAAAGCAGAATTTCAAAAATCTTCTGCTTTTAATTTAACTACTTGGCCAAATTAAACCAAACTTGGCCTCAATCATTATTAGGGTATCTATATGATTTTAACCTTATTAAACATGATTTCCAAAATCACAGTATATACAGGTGAGCGACACAGGCTCTTGAGAGCCTCTAGTTTTAAATAGATTAAATCATAATGTTGTATAGAATTACACATGAAAACAATCTAGTTATAAATGAACTGAGGTAATTGATTGAAATGAAATTGACAAATCAAACACACCTACAACCTGAAAACATATTTTTTAACTAACTTGTTAAACTGGTTTCACAATATTTATATACTGTTCCTACTTTTGATTGGTTCCCTGCTTAACTATTGACTCCGCCCGAAAGAAGGTAGTACCTTAGCTAATAATGATTTCATGGTTCAGCTAGCAAGCAAGCTAACCAAAGAAACTACCTTTACCTACACACTCAAGTCAATGTGCTGTAATTAAATAAATTTTTTTCAAATTCAAATTTCGAATCAAATTTAGATTGATTGTTTGACAATCAGAAAATTTATTTTACATAGCCTTACCTATAATATAATTGAAATCTTTGGTCTAATAAGCAATACCATTACTACAATTGTCATGTTTTAATAGAGTATTAATCCGTGTGCATTGTTTTATAGGAAGTGAGATTGTGGACAAAAGATGAAGTAAACTTTGAAAAATGTAAAAAGAAACATGTGAGTATTACTTAATGTATATGTCGTACAAACACTAGTCTTGTTCCAATATATTATACTGATTTGTCTGGAAGTTCCCCATTTGTAAGCTGTCAATAAACAACATTGACAATGTTTAACAATGTTTTGGTAAAAAATTTAAAGAGAATTAATTAACAATTACAACAAATAGTTAAAGGTTTATGTTGAAGAAAGCCTCATAAAACCCTTAGAGAGTCTGAGGTTAAAATTAAGGTTGTCAGGAAATCTTAAACAGAAATTTTATTTAGCCCAATTATTATGGATGTATTAGTGCTGTTTTATTGATGAAAATGAAGAAATATACTATATATATACACCTGAGATATAATTTTATATGGTTAACAAAGGCTGAAATTGTATCACTGCTGTTGATCATCTAACTATTATGTTCTCGTCCTGAATATGCATGAAATATTTGCCACTGAACGTTAAGCAACCAACAATCAATCAATGTTGCTATAAATATTTTCAACTGTATGCTATAAAGTCCAACAACAGTTTCATTTTTTGCCTAAAGAAAGGAACAGCAAATATATACTGTAATAAGCTTATCATTAAAAGTAGAAATGATTATGATATAAGTTTATTGTCTTATATGACTATAGTCCTTTTTTATTTTCAGTTTAACTACAACATCCACCAGATACTATCAGTAAAGGGGTATAAACCTGTCGTTGTGTGTGAAAATGGGGCTATCAATTTTCTTTCAAAAATAAAGGATTCCATTGGCATTCTAGAAGATGGTGATTTTATTCTTAAATGTCAGGCATTCATCATCAAAGACAGACTGGTTGTTCTGTGTTTAGTGCAGAAACAGGTAAATTAGCATTCGGATTCCACAAGTGTATCATTGTAAATCAGGTATTCAAAGTATTTGTTAATATCTATTATTTTTGTGAGGAAATGAGTAAATAAGTAGGTGAGGTAAGACCCCTATTTGTCCCCTATTAATATGTGTATATCTCAAGATGAAAAGTGTTTCTAGTTGATGTATAAACATGTGAGAAAGTGAAATAGAACCAATTTTATCATGCTATATTGGCCAAAAATAGAGATTTTGGTAAAATTTGACAACATCATCTGAATTTCAACCACAATTATTGGTTAGCTAAGGAAAAATATAGCACCTGGCTCAACAAACTAAATCTTAAAATTTAGATAGATTGCTTGTTATAAAAAGTCATGATTCCAAGGGGACAATAAAAAGTCATGATTCCAAGGGGACAAAAAAAAGTCATGATTCCAAGAGGACAATAAAAAGTCATGATTCCAAGGGGACAATAAAAAGTCATGATTCCAAGGGGACAATAAATAGTCATGATTCCAAGGGGACAATAAAAAGTCATGATTTCAAGGGGACAATAAAAAGTCATGATTCCAAGGGGACAATAAATAGTCATGATTCCAAGGGGACAATAAAAAGTCATGATTCCAAGGGGACAATAAAAAGTCATGATTCCAAGGGGACAATAAAAAGTCATGATTCCAAGGGGACAATAAATATAAAAAAGAAGATGTGGTATGATTGCCAATGAGACTCCTCTTCACAAGAGACCAAATGACACAGAAATTAACAACTATAGGTCACCGTACGGCCTTCAACAATGAGCAAAGCCCATACCACATAGTCAGCTATAAAAGGCCCCAAAATGACTAATGTAAAACAATTCAAAGAGAAAACTAACGGACTAATTAATGTACAAAAAAAAAATGAACGAAAAACAAATATGTAACACAGCAACCAACGACAACCACTGAATTACAGGCCCCTGACTTGGGAAAGGCACATACATACAGAATGTGGCGGGGTTAAACATGTTAGCGGGATCCCAACCCTCCCCCATAACCTGGGATAGTAGTGTAACAGTACAAAACCATAAGATGAAGAAAGACAAACTATAAAATGGCTATAACTTTGAAAAGACAAACAATAAAATGGCTATAACTTTGGAAAGACAAACAATAAGATGGCTATAACATTCAAAAGACAAACAACAGTCTAAAAAATACAACACAGAAAAGGCTGAGTGACACGAACCCTAACAAAAATCAGGGATATAAAAAGATTAAAAGTTAAAAAATCTTATTTGTTATGATTCACCCTATTTTTTCAGTCAAAAAAGACAATTGAAGTTAGCCTATTTTCATTGAATATAGTAGAAATTGAAATCAAAACTTAAAAAAAAGACAAGAAAAGTCTCAAATAGATTAAAAAGGGACTATAATCCTGATGATATATTTTCAGAATAAAAGTTTACAGATGATTTCACATACTTTCTCAGACGATGATACAGATAGTACCTGGTCATGTGACACCAGTGATGTAGATTTTCAGGTAGATACACCTGTATGTACCTGTCACATGAAGCAGTTTGGTAATGATGTGAGATGTCATGTTTTATGTAAGTGTAATGTGTATTGGACATATAAAAAGATAAGAAGATGTGGTATGATAACCAATGAGACAACTTTCTACTAGATACCAATTGATGTAGAAGTTAGCAGCTTTAAGTCACTGTAATGCCGTCTACAATGAGCAAAACCCATACTGTATAACAAGCTTTAAAGGCTCCAACATGACAAATGTTAAACAATTCATATATGATGGCTTTCAAAAATCATTTGTGATAACATGTATAGGTCTGAATTATAAACTTAATAATAACAACTAACAAAATGAATGCATTTAGCCGTGCAGACTGACTGAGCTGGTGTTTAATATATATTTTATATATCAATGCATAAATAAAGTACATGTACATTTCAAAATGCAATATATATATATATAGAATAAATAAACATATGAACAACGGTAACCATGAAGCACAAAATGCCTTTATCTCTATAAATGCATGTATATATCCGTCTTTAACGTAACCTTGCCTCCCAGGAAAACCACAAAAACTGTACTGAAGAAAATTGATATGGAAACCTGTGTTACTGGGCAAGAGCAAGGCACGTCTCGGGACATTGATGCCGACCTCATCAAAAAACAAATATCAAATATTATAATATTGAAGTTTAGTGTTAAATGTCTGCGGCTAGAAAGATTTTCAAACACAAAGAAAATAAAAACCCACTTTCACCTCATTAACATTAGAATACTTTTTGACGCAATCCAAATGATTGGTTCACGTAACCACTTGTACAACTACAGACAAACCACCAAAAACATACTTATTTATATTTTGGGGCCCTTTATAGCTTGCTGTTCGGTGTGAGCCAATGCTCCGTGTTGAAGGCCGTACCTTGACCTATAATGGTTTACTTTTATAAATTGTAACTTGGATGGAGAGTTGTCTCATTGGCACTCATACCACATCTTCCTATATCTACTGTTATTTAAAAACGTTCTTTTTAGACAACATTTTCCAGCTATTCTCTGAAACTCGGAAAAAATAAATGTACTCCCATGTACTTAAAATGCTTGTTTAAATCATGATTACTTGCAGAGAAGTTACTTACAATGCTTGAGTATGTCATGATTACTGACAGGGAAGCTACTTACAATGCTTGAGTTTATCATGATTACTGACAGGGAAGCTACTTACAATGCTTGAGTTTATCATGATTACTGACAGGGAACTACTTACAATGCTTGAGTATGTCATGATTACTGACAGGGAAGCTACTTACAATGCTTGAGTATGTCATGAATACTGACAGGAAAGCTACTTACAATGCTTGAGTATGTCATGAATACTGACAGGAAAGCTACTTACAATGCTTGAGTACTGTGGATTCATTTTTATTCGTGGTATACCAATTTTCATGGGTCACAGCGAACCACGATTTTAAGAATTCAACAAAGAATAATCCCGAGAAATATGTATGGAGTTGGATGTTTATTTCCGGTTATGTTATGCAGTTCTAGTATAGTGTTGACTAGCGATAAACATTGTAACATAACACATGTTTTTATTGAAAGAAGATACAAGTATTTTGATTAAATCAACAATTAATATATCGAATATCAGTGATAATTTACTTTTTAAAATTGATTAAAACTGTTCATGGAAAATAACTGCAAGTTGTTAATTACCGTGTCATAGTTTGGTTTACTGGTGATTAAAAATCAATAGGATTAAGTACGGGGATATTGCCCGTAGGTAATATTGTTTATGACAGGAACATTTATTTTCACACCTTTTACTTATATGACTGTTTATTATATCGTGATTAGGGAACTGAGCTTTCAATCATATAATTTTGAATGCCTTATAAAATTTCGACAAGAATCTATAAATTGTAAAACAAACAAATAATTAGTTGTCTCTGTCCATTATTGTAATAGAAGTTTTCAATGATCACTTTAACCTAGAATGACCAAGCGAGGATTTTGACAATTCAAGACGTTTTCAATGAATTCCTTCTTTTTTGTTTGTTTTATTATTGATCAAACCAAGGAGGTTTTATGATCTCCAAAATCAAAAAGAAATCCACGAATTACGTATCTGATTTTTTTTTTTTTTTTGTAATCAGCAATCCACGAATTTACGTATACCACGAAACGTCTTTTTTTCTCTATCCAAGAAAATTGATACCCACGAAAATAAATGAATCCACAGTATTTCATGATTACTGACCTGGAAGCTACTTACAATGCTTGAGTTCATCATGATTACTGACAGGGAAGCTACTTCAATGCTTGAGTATATCATGATTACTGTCAGGGAAGTTACTTACAATGCTTGTCTACATCATGATAACTGACAGTGAAGCTACTTATAATGCCTGAGTATGTCATGATTACTGACCCAGAAATTACTTACAATGCCTGAGTATGTCATTATTACTGACAGGGAATTACTTATTATGCCTGGGTATATCATGATTACTGACAGGGAAGTTATTTACAATGCTTGAGTATATCATGATTACTGAGAGGGAAGCTACTTTCAATGCTTGAGTATCAAGATTTCTGATAAGAAAGTTAATTACAATGCTTGAGTATGTCATGATTACTGACCCAGAAGTTACTTACAATGCCTGAGTATGTCATTATTACTGACAGGGAATTACTTATAATGTCTGGGTATATCATGATTACTGACAGGGAAGCTACTAACAATGCTTGAGTATCAAGATTTCTGACAAGAATGTTTATTACAATGCTTGAGTATATCATGATTATTGACAGGGAAGCTACTTACAATGCTTCTGTATATTAAGATTACTAACAAGGAAGTTACTTACAATGCTTGAATTTATCATGATTACTGACATGGAAGTTATTTACAATGTTTGAGAATATCAAAATATCTGACAAGGGAGCTACTTACAATGCTTGAGTATGTCATGATTACTGACAGGAAAGCTACTTACAATGCTTGAGTTTATCATGCTTACTGACAGGGAAGTTGCTTACAATGTTCAAGTATATCATGATTACTGACAAGGAAGTTACTTACAATGCTTGAGTATGTCAAGATCTTTGACAAGGATGTTACTTACAATGTTTGAGTTTGTCATGATTACTGACAGGGAAGTTATTTACAATGCTTGAGTATATCAAGATTACTGACAGGGAAGTTATTTACAATGCTTGAGTATGTCATGATTACTGACAGGGAAGTTATTTACAATGCTTGAGTATATCAAGATTACTGACAGGGAAGTTATTTAAAATGCTTGAGTATATCAAGATTACTGACATGGAAGTTATTTAAAATACTTGAGTATATCAAGATTACTGACATGGAAGTTATTTAAAATACTTGAGTATATCAAGATTACTGGCAGGGAACTACTTACAATGCTTGAGTATGTCATGATTACTGACAGGGAACTACTTACAATGCTTGAGTATGTCATGATTACTGACAGGGAAGCTACTTACAATGCTTGAGTATGTCATGAATACTGACAGGAAAGCTACTTACAATGCTTGAGTATGTCATGAATACTGACAGGAAAGCTACTTACAATGCTTGAGTACTGTGGATTCATTTTTATTCGTGGTATACCAATTTTCATGGGTCACAGCGAACCACGATTTTAAGAATTCAACAAAGAATAATCCCGAGAAATATGTATGGAGTTGGATGTTTATTTCCGGTTATGTTATGCAGTTCTAGTATAGTGTTGACTAGCGATAAACATTGTAACATAACACATGTTTTTATTGAAAGAAGATACAAGTATTTTGATTAAATCAACAATTAATATATCGAATATCAGTGATAATTTACTTTTTAAAATTGATTAAAACTGTTCATGGAAAATAACTGCAAGTTGTTAATTACCGTGTCATAGTTTGGTTTACTGGTGATTAAAAATCAATAGGATTAAGTACGGGGATATTGCCCGTAGGTAATATTGTTTATGACAGGAACATTTATTTTCACACCTTTTACTTATATGACTGTTTATTATATCGTGATTAGGGAACTGAGCTTTCAATCATATAATTTTGAATGCCTTATAAAATTTCGACAAGAATCTATAAATTGTAAAACAAACAAATAATTAGTTGTCTCTGTCCAATATTGTAATAGAAGTTTTCAATGATCACTTTAACCTAGAATGACCAAGCGAGGATTTTGACAATTCAAGACGTTTTCAATGAATTCCTTCTTTTTTGTTTGTTTTATTATTGATCAAACCAAGGAGGTTTTATGATCTCCAAAATCAAAAAGAAATCCACGAATTACGTATCTGATTTTTTTTTTTTTTTTGTAATCAGCAATCCACGAATTTACGTATACCACGAAACGTCTTTTTTTCTCTATCCACGAAAATTGATACCCACGAAAATAAATGAATCCACAGTATTTCATGATTACTGACCTGGAAGCTACTTACAATGCTTGAGTTCATCATGATTACTGACAGGGAAGCTACTTCAATGCTTGAGTATATCATGATTACTGTCAGGGAAGTTACTTACAATGCTTGTCTACATCATGATAACTGACAGTGAAGCTACTTATAATGCCTGAGTATGTCATGATTACTGACCCAGAAATTACTTACAATGCCTGAGTATGTCATTATTACTGACAGGGAATTACTTATAATGCCTGGGTATATCATGATTACTGACAGGGAAGTTATTTACAATGCTTGAGTATATCATGATTACTGAGAGGGAAGCTACTTTCAATGCTTGAGTATCAAGATTTCTGATAAGAAAGTTAATTACAATGCTTGAGTATGTCATGATTACTGACCCAGAAGTTACTTACAATGCCTGAGTATGTCATTATTACTGACAGGGAATTACTTATAATGTCTGGGTATATCATGATTACTGACAGGGAAGCTACTAACAATGCTTGAGTATCAAGATTTCTGACAAGAATGTTTATTACAATGCTTGAGTATATCATGATTATTGACAGGGAAGCTACTTACAATGCTTCTGTATATTAAGATTACTAACAAGGAAGTTACTTACAATGCTTGAATTTATCATGATTACTGACATGGAAGTTATTTACAATGTTTGAGAATATCAAAATATCTGACAAGGGAGCTACTTACAATGCTTGAGTATGTCATGATTACTGACAGGAAAGCTACTTACAATGCTTGAGTTTATCATGCTTACTGACATGGAAGTTACTTCAATGCTTGAGTATATCATGATTAATGGCAGGGAAGTTACTTATAATGCATGAGTTTATCATGATTTCAGACAAGGAAGTTAATTACAATGCCTGAATATATCATGACTTCTGACAATGAAGTTACTTACAATGCTTGAGTTTATCATGATTTCTGACAAAAAAAGTTACTTACAATGCCTGAGTATATCATGACTTCTGACAAGGAAGTTACTTACAATGCCTGAGTATATCATGATGACTGACAGGGAAGTTACTTACAATGCTTGAGTATATCATGATTACTGACAGGGAAGTTGCTTACAATGTTCAAGTATATCATGATTACTGACAAGGAAGTTACTTACAATGCTTGTGTATGTCAAGATCTTTGACAAGGATGTTACTTACAATGTTTGAGTTTGTCATGATTACTGACAGGGAAGTTATTTACAATGCTTGAGTATATCAAGATTACTGACAGGGAAGTTATTTACAATGCTTGAGTATGTCATGATTACTGACAGGGAAGTTATTTACAATGCTTGAGTATATCAAGATTACTGACAGGGAAGTTATTTAAAATGCTTGAGTATATCAAGATTACTGACATGGAAGTTATTTAAAATACTTGAGTATATCAAGATTACTGACATGGAAGTTATTTAAAATACTTGAGTATATCAAGATTACTGGCAGGGAAGCTACTTACAATGCTTGAGTATGTCATGATTACTGACAGGGAAGTTATTTACAATGCTTGAGTATATCAAGATTACTGACAGGGAAGTTATTTAAAATGGTTGAGTTTATCGAGATTACTGACAAAGAAGGTAATTGCAATGCTTGAGTTTATCATGATTACTGACAGGGAAGTTATTTACAATGCTTGAGTATATCATGATTACTGACGGACGTTACTTACAATGTTTGAGACTATCATGATTACTGACAAAGAAGTTATTTACAATGCTTGAGTATATCAAGATTAGTGACAGGGAAGTTATTTGAAATGGTTGAGTTTATCGAGATTACTGACAAAGAAGTTAATTGCAATGCTTGAGTATATCATGATTATGTTTGGGAGTTATATTAACTGATGATGTCAACTCTAACAATTTGTTTACAAAATTATGTTCTTTGTTGACATTGTTTTGTTGCAGTAGTAATATGACACTTATATATATTTTCAGATTCCAGTGGTGACCTTCATAGTTTAAATGTTTCACCTTTAACAAACAGTATCAGAAGTCAGAAATTATGCCATTTGAATTGTTTGCAGAAGTCTGTTTCCATTGTGATACTTAACTCAACACATATTGCTATTGCTGGCATCAAACAAGGCAACCACAGTAAGAAATTACCTATCAAAACATAAGTATTTTAACACTTTTTTTCAGAACTTCAAAAGTACTCATGGAATATGCTTTCTAAGATTTAAAAGGAACTACATTGGAACTTGACTATGGGTGGTTATACCAGACCTGAATTTTTGTAAAGGCTATTGGATACTGGTGACAATAGGTGGTTGTACCAAGGGAAAGCTAAGGTATCAGGACTTCACTGGTTCCCTGGATGGGATATGAATTATTGTATCACACATCACACTTAATTGGTACCCAGGGAAATATGTTGGTGCTTGTATTAACTCTTCCCTGTTACTTTGGGAAAGCTAAGGTATCAGGACTTCACTGGTTCCCAGGATGGGCTATGAATATTTGTATCACACTTAACTGGTACCTAGGAAAGCTATTGTTTGAGGACTTCACTGGTTTCCAGGATGGGATATGAATATAAAAATAAGAAGATGGGGTATGATTGCCAAAGAAACAACTCTCCACCAAAGACTAAATGACATGAAAGTTAACAACTATAGGTCACTGTTGGTCATGGTTGAATTTCACTTATTGGTTCACAGGAAAATCTATTGGTGCTTGGATTAAAACTTTACATGTAAATATATGACCAAAATCTTTGATTGGTTCCATAGAAGGTTCCTTGATTGAAAAGTACCTTCCTTGAGTATTGTATATGTCTTGTAGATTTCAAGGTGATGTTATAAAGTTTAACAATAAATATGTGAAAACTAATACATGAGTGATAATGAAGAAAGAAAATTTACTTGTTATCAGGAAGTATACTTTACAGTTATTCATAAAATTTAGTAAAGAGTTCCTCTGGTTATTCAATCTTACTATCCATATTAAATGTTAAATGTGTCCCTAAATATTCAGTATTTCATTTAAAGGCAAGTAAATATGTACTACTATTTTTAAAGTTGGTTTAGGTATCTACGACACCAGATTTGATGTATTACACACATTTAGACCATTCACAGAGGATATGGCCGAAGACATTAAAGTAAGCATTAAAGTTAACATACTGTGTTATAGTCAGGTTAACATACTGTGGTATAGTCGGGTTAATATACCGTGTTATAGTCCGGTTAACATACTGTGTTATAGTCAGGTTAACATACCGTGTTATTAAGTCAAGTTAACATCCTGTGTTATTAAGTCAAGTTAACATCCAATGATATTAAGTCAAGTTAACATACTGTATTATTAAGTCAAGTTAACATCCTATGATATTAAGTCAGGTTAACATCCTATGTTATTAAGTCAGGTTAACATCCTATGTTATTAAGTCAGGTTAACATGCTGTGTAATTAAGTCAGGCTTACATACTGTATTATTTATTAAGCCATGTTAGCATACTTTGTTCATTCTTTAGTCATGTTAACATACTGTGTTATTTTAATAAGTCAGATTGAAATACTGGTGTTATTTGTTAAGTCATGTTAACATACTGGTGTTACTTGTTAAGTCATGTTAACATACTGGTGTTACTTGTTAAGTCATGTTAACATTCTGGTGTTACTTGTAAAGTTTAGGGTTGATAATTATGGATATTCACCTTTTAAGGCATTATGCTTCTAACTTGACCGTTGCTATTTTGTTCAAATATGTCTGTGCTGTCATTTTGATGGGAGATAACTTGTGTTCAAATCAAATTTTCAAGAAACTGAAAAGGTTATTCATCGCTGGTTGTAAATTGTTACCCAATAGAATTGTTTATTATATATATAAGGTATGATAAACTGTGTTATTGTCACATGGTAACATGTTACCCAATAGAATTGTTTATTATATATATAAGGTATAATAAACTGTGTTATTGTCACATGATAACGTGTTACCCAATAGAATTGTTTATTATATATATCAGGTATAATAAACTGTGTTATTGTCACATGGTAACATGTTACCCAATAGAATTGTTTATTATATATATAAGGTATAATAAACTGTGTTATTGTCACATGATAACGTGTTACCCAATAGAATTGTTTATTATATATATAAGGTATAATAAACTGGGTTATTGTCACGTGATAACGTGTTACTCAATAGAATTGTTTATTATATATATCAGGTATAATAAAGTGTGTTATTGTCACACGATAACGTGTTACCCAATAGAATTGTTTATTATATATATCAGGTATAATAAACTGTGTTATTGTCACACGATAACGTGTTACTCAATAGAATTGTTTATTATATATATATAAGGTATAATAAACTGGGTTATTGTCACACGATAACATGTTACCCAATAGAATTGTTTATTATATATATAAGGTATAATAAACTGTGTTATTGTCACACGATAACGTGTTACCCAATAGAATTGTTTATTTATATATATAAGGTATGATAAACTGTGTTACTGTCACATGATAACGTGTTACCCAATAGAATTGTTTATTATATATATAAGGTATAATAAACTGTGTTATTGTCACATGATAACGTGTTACCCAATAGAATTGTTTATTATATATATAAGGTATAATAAACTGTGTTATTGTCACGTGATAACGTGTTACCCAATAGAATTGTTTATTATATATATAAGGTATAATAAACTGGGTTATTGTCACATGATAACGTGTTACCCAATAGAATTGTTTATTATATATATAAGGTATAATAAACTGTGTTATTGTCACATGGTAATGTGTTACTCAATAGAATTGTTTATTATATATAAGGTATAATAAACTGTGTTATTGTCACGTGATAACGTGTTACTCAATAGAATTGTTTATTATATATGAGGTATAATAAACTGGGTTATTGTCATGTGATAACGTGTTACCCAATAGAATTGTTTATTATATATATAAGGTATAATAAACTGGGTTATTGTCACATGATAACGTGTTACCCAATAGAATTGTTTATTATATATATAAGGTATAATAAACTGTGTTATTGTCACACGATAACGTGTTACCCAATAGAATTGTTTATTGTCGAGCCTTCGACTTTTGTCGAAAAAGCGAGACATAGCGATCCTACATTCCGTCGGCGTCGGCGTCGGCGGCGTCCACAAATATTCACTCTGTGGTTAAAGTTTTTGAAATTTTAATAACTTTCTTAAACTATCCTGGATTTGTACCAAACTTGGAAAGAAGCTTGTTTGTGATCATAAGATAGTATCCAGAAGTAAATTTTGTAAAAAAAAAATTCCATTTTTTCCGTATTTTACTTATAAATGGACTTAGTTTTTCTGCCAGGAAACATTACATTCACTCTGTGGTTAAAGTTTTTGAAATTTTAATAACTTTCTTAAACTATCCAGGATTTGTACCAAACTTGGAAAGAGGCTTGTTTGTGATCATAAGATAGTATCCAGAAGTAAATTTTGTAACACTTATAAATGAACTTAGTTTTTCTGCTAGTTAACATTACATTCACTCTGTGGTTAAAGTTTTTAAAATTTTAACAACTTTCTTAAACTATCCTGGATTTGTACCAAACTTAGACAGAAGCTTGTTTATGATTAAAAGCTAGTATCTAAAAGGAAATTTTGTTAAAATTTTGTTCCATTTTTTCCGTATTTTACTTATAAATGGACTTAGTTTTTCTTCCAGTTAACATTACATAACAGTCTGCAGTTTAAGTTTTTATTTTAAAACATTTATTAGATTCATAAGCTATCCTGGATTTTTACCAAACTTGGACAGAAGCTACTTACAATCAAAAGATAGTATAGAGAGGAATATTATTATTAATTTTTTTCCTCATTTTTGTTGAGCCTGTGATTAACAGCAGAAGTAGGCGAGACACTGGGTTCCGCGGAACCCTTACGAATTTTTATATATATAAGGTATAATAAACTGGGTTATTGTCACACGATAACGTGTTACCCAATAGAATTGTTTATTATATATATAAGGTATAATAAACTGTGTTATTGTCACACGGTAACGTGTTACCCAATAGAATTGTTTATTATATATATAAGGTATAATAAACTGGGTTATTGTCACGTGATAACGTGTTACCCAATAGAATTGTTTATTATATATATAAGGTATAATAAACTGGGTTATTGTCACATGATAACGTGTTACCCAATAGAATTGTTTATTATATATATAAGGTATAATAAACTGTGTTATTGTCACATGGTAACGTGTTACCCAATAGAATTGTTTATTATATATATAAGGTATAATAAACTGTGTTATTGTCACATGATAACGTGTTAACCAATAGAATTGTTTATTATATATATAAGGTAAAATAAACTGTGTTATTGTCACATGATAACGTGTTAACCAATAGAATTGTTTATTATATATATAAGGTATAATAAACTGGGTTATTGTCATGTGATAACATGTTACCCAATAGAATTGTTTATTATATATATAAGGTATAATAAACTGGGTTATTGTCATGTGATAACGTGTTACCCAATAGAATTGTTTATTATATATATAAGGTATAATAAACTGTGTTATTGTCACATGATAACGTGTTAACCAATAGAATTGTTTATTATATATATAAGGTATAATAAACTGTGTTATTGTCACGTGATAACGTGTTAACCAATAGAATTGTTTATTATATATATAAGGTATAATAAACTGGGTTATTGTCACGTGATAACGTGTTACCCAATAGAATTGTTTATTATATATATAAGGTATAGTAAACTGGGTTATTGTCACGTGATAACATGTTACCCAATAGAATTGTTTATTATATATATAAGGTATAATAAACTGTGTTATTGTCACATGATAACGTGTTAACCAATAGAATTGTTTATTATATATATAAGGTATAATAAACTGTGTTATTGTCACATGATAACGTGTTAACCAATAGAATTGTTTATTATATATATAAGGTATAATAAACTGGGTTATTGTCACGTGATAACGTGTTACCCAATAGAATTGTTTATTATATATATAAGGTATAATAAACTGGGTTATTGTCACATGATAACGTGTTACCCAATAGAATTGTTTATTATATATATAAGGTATAATAAACTGTGTTATTGTCACATGATAACGTGTTAACCAATAGAATTGTTTATTATATATATAAGGTATAATAAACTGGGTTATTGTCACACGATAACGTGTTACCCAATAGAATTGTTTATTATATAAGGTATAATAAACTGGGTCATTGTCACATGATAACGTGTTACCCAATAGAATTGTTTATTATATATATAAGGTATAATAAACTGGGTTATTGTCACACGATAACGTGTTACCCAATAGAATTGTTTATTATATATATAAGGTATAATAAACTGGGTTATTGTCACATGGTAACGTGTTACCCAATAGAATTGTTTATTATATATACAAGGTATAATAAACTGGGTTATTGTCACATGGTAACGTGTTACCCAATAGAATTGTTTATTATATATATAAGGTATAATAAACTGTGTTATTGTCACATGATAACTTTTTACCCAATAGAATTGTTTATTATATATATAAGGTATAATAAACTGTGTTATTGTCACATGATAACGTGTTACTCAATAGAATTGTTTATTATATATATAAGGTATAATAAACTGTGTTATTGTCACGTGATAACGTGTTACCCAATAGAATTGTTTATTATATATATAAGGTATAATAAACTGTGTTATTGTCACACGATAACATGTTACCCAATAGAATTGTTTATTATATATATAAGGTATAATAAACTGTGTTATTGTCACATGATAACGTGTTACCCAATAGAAGTGTTTATTATATATATCAGGTATAATAAACTGTGTTATTGTCACACGATAACATGTTACCCAATAGAATTGTTTATTATATATATCAGGTATAATAAACTGTGTTATAGTCACATGATAACGTGTTACCCAATAGAATTGTTTATTATATATATAAGGTATAATAAACTGGGTTATTGTCACATGATAATGTGTTACCCAATAGAATTGTTTATTATATATATAAGGTATAATAAACTGGGTTATTGTCACATGATAACGTGTTAACTAATAGA